GCCGCGAAGGAGGTTGTCGGCTAACGGGAAGGGAGGCTAAACTTGAAGGAAGACGAAATGATTTTTTCCTTGTTAGTGATTTTGACCATGGATAGAAGAAAAATAACGAGGTAGTTAATTTTCATCTTTTTTTATTGAAGATTCAATTTTAAATATTTTTTAATTTTTTTTTTCCCCAAAACGATAGTTACAACTGAACCAACTAAACTCAAAAAACAAACTTGGGAGGGCCACCATAGGTGGTCTAGAACCTCAACAAAGACAACAACAACCAACCAAACTAAGGAAATCAACTCCTTACCACTGCCTCAAAGCCTAGCACTGAGTTACAAACCCACCAAAAAGAAAAAACAAACTAAACAACACAAACCAACTACAAAGAAAGAGAAGCTAAGCAAACAACTTAAGAGGAAGCTGCAATAAAATTCATCCAATCTGAATGAGCCATAAGGGACAAAGCAGATTCCGGGATTAGAGTCCTTTAAATGTCTACTTTTTATGTAAATCAAACAACTTTGTATTTTGACATAATTATGCAAATCAAACTACTATTTATTTGAAATTTATGTTTTCAGTCCTTATAATAAAAAGTATTAAATATCTTTAGTAAAATACCCTTATAAAAAAATTAATTAATATAATTACATGTATGCAATATCTTAATGAAATTTATTTTAAAATTTACAAAAAATAATAACTAAAATTTAAAAATGTATAATTTGATATTATTACAAATGATTAGAAAAGTCAATTTAATTTTTTTAAATACAATTATTGAAAATAATATTTGTGAATAAAATATATATTTTAAAAAATTATGAATATAATAAATTAATACTTATTAAATATCTTAGTAAAATTAGCTTAGTAAGAAAATTAATTCATTTAATTACATGTGTTGTCGGGTCAAAGACTATCACGCAATGTCGCTTCCATAATCTTCACACTCCTACCCCACGGCTTATTCATAATCAAGGATGTAACCTCCTAATGGCGTTGCATGGTTGTCGTCATCTCAAAGTCGTGAGATGTTTGTTCAAGTCCTATAACAAGCGAAACCCTCGTTTTGTGTTGCTGAGAAATGCGCCCCTCACTTTTCTTCACAACTTCAGCCCTCAATTACACCAAACTTTGACCTTCAACGAGATTGGAACTGCTCGATGTTGGGTTCGTTAGGAACGTCAACAACATGCACGTTTGAATTTGGCAAAATAAACCCTAACGCAGCAGAATCTATAGTTACGGTCAGAAAATTACCGTCTAAAATTTTTTTAGACTAAGAGACGTTTCTGATTTTCTTTGATGGATATCTTCTGAATACCACAATACGATGGGCTGACGGATCTGGCCATTTCTCGTCTAATCGAGTATCGGGTCACGGACGGATCACCGGGTCAAGGCCTTATCAGGTTCGGGCCGTTCGGATGCGCTTCAGGTCGGTCGGGTCGCGGCTGGGCTCGGTCGGACCTCAGCTGGGTG